AGCGGAAGGAAGGAGGAGAAGAAGGCCGGAAGGAGAGGCTGGCCCTCAAGAAGGTCAACAGCAACAACCACCACAAGAAGAGCAACAACCCTCCTCGTTCACATATATTTCCCCTCATAACATTAATCATAATGGAGGAATAAGAAGAAGAAGCCATAAATAAAATAGTAATAATAATAATGAAATAATATTGGAATAGTTGTAATCAATAACGTATTATTATTCATAATAATAAATAAATAGCAATGGGAATATGTAAAATATTATTAATCATCATAATAATGAAAGAATAATAATAAATATGATATTGAGAATTATAAAACTAAAATAAATAATAGTAGTGATTAAACAATAAATAAATCTAATAACTAAATAATGATAATGAAATAATCTATATATATATAAAAATGCTCTGTGCATAATGAGTTCCTTAAAAACAAAAGAACCAATGAACGAAATCACACCAAATTTGGCAACAAAATGTCTCACAAGACAAGGAGTGACCATCACTCAAAAAATTAGGATTTGGTCATTTGGGAGTTGTTGTTAATTCGTTCAGTCATCTCCAACTCTTCGTGACCTCATGGACCAGCCCACGCCAGAGCTCCCTGTCGGCCGTCACCACCCCCAGCTCCTTCAAGGTCAGTCCAGTCACTTCAAGGATGCCATCCATCCATCTTGCCCTTGGTCGGCCCCTCTTCCTTTTACCTTCTACTTTCCCCAGCATCATTGTCTTCTCTAGGCTTTGCTGTCTCCTCATGATGTGGCCAAAGTACTTCAACTTTGTCTCTAGTATCTTTCCCTCCAGTGAGCAGTCGGGCTTTATTTCCTGAAGGATGGACTGGTTGGATCTTCTCGCAGTCCAAGGCACTCTCAGAACTTTCCTCCAACACCACAGCTCAAAAGCATCTATCTTCCTTCGCTCAGCCTTCCCTAAGGTCCAGCTCTCACATCCGTAGGTGACTACAGGGAATACCATGGCTTTGACTAGGCGGATCTTTGTTGCCAGTCTGATGTCTCTACTCTTTACTATTTTATCGAGACTGGACATTGCTCTCCTCCCAAGAAGGAAGCGTCTTCTGATTTCCTGGCCACAGTCTGCATCTGCAGTAATCTTTGCACCTAGAAATACAAAGTCTGTCACGGCCTCCACATTTTCTCCCTCTATTTCCCAGTTGTCAATCATTCTTGTTGACATAATCTTGGGTTTTTTTTATGTTTAGCTGCAACCCGGCTTTTGCGCTTTCTTCTTTCACCTTGATTAGAAGGCTCCTCAGCTCCTCCTCGCTTTCGGCCATCAGAGTGGCGTCATCTGCATATCTGAGGTTGTTAATGTTTCTTCCAGCAATTTTCACCCCAGCTTTGCATTCATCCAGCCCCGCACATCGCATGATGTGTTCTGCATACAAGTTAAAAAGGTTGGGTGAGAGTATGCAGCCTTGCTGTACGCCTTTCCCAATCTTGAACCAGTCTGTTGTTCCGTGGTCAGTTCTGACTGTTGCTACTTGGTCCTTGTACAGATTCCTCAGGAGAGAGACAAGGTGGCTTGGGATGCCCATCCCACCAAGAACTTGCCACAATTTATTATGATCCACACAGTCAAAGGCTTTAGAATAGTCAATGAAGCAAAAATAGATGCTTTTCTGAAACTCCCTGCCTTTCTCCATTATCCAGCGGATATTGGCAATCTGGTCTCTCGTTCCTCTGCCCTTTCTAAATCCAGCTTGAACATCTGGGAGTTGTAGCTGCTGGGATTTCTAGTTCACCTACAATCAAAGAGCATTCTGAACTCCACCAATGATGGAATTGAACCAAACATGGCATATAGGACTTCCATGACCAACAGAATAGAATCATAGAATCAAAGAGTTGGAAGAGACCTCATGGGCCATCCAGTCCAACCCCCTGCCAAGAAGCAGGAATAGAGAATACACACAGAGAATACACACACAGAGAATACACTGGAAGGGTTTGGTGGACATTGACCTTGAGTTTGGGAGTTGTAGTTCACCTACATCCAGAGAGCATTGTGGACTCAAACAATGATGGATCTGGACCAAACTTGACACAAATATTCCATATGCCTAAATATGAACACAGTTGGAGTTTGGAGGAAATAGACCTTGACATTTGGGATTTGTAGTTACTGGGATTTATAGTTCACTACAATTAAAGAGCATTTTGATCCCCACAAATGACAGATTTGGCACAAACTTCCCAAACAGAAGCCACATGACCAACAGAAAATACTTAAGGCCATCCAGTCCAACTCCCTTCACCAGTGCAAGAAAACGTAATCAAAGCCCTCCTGACAAAGAGCCATCCAGCCATAGATAGATAGATAGATATGATTCACACACAGAGAGATATAATATCCTAGATTTGAAAGGGACCCCTAAAGAAGGACAATGATATGTTGCATGTTTCTGAGTAGGCAAACCAAACAATCTCCACATCAACACTGACAAAGAAACAGCAAATACTGCTTTACCTACAAGCATAATGGAATTACATATATTAAAAACCAGCACTTTCTCATTACTTTATTTTCCAGATCACCAGACTCGGCCACAGCAACGCGTGACAGGGGACGGCTAGTGATTATAATAAATATAATATAAATAACAAATAAAATAATACTACTAATAAATAAAATACTAATAATGAAGTAATAATGAAATAAATACAATCAATAGATTGTATTTATTTCATTATTACTTCATTATTTATTTCAGACATCAGAAGAGCTGCAAGACCAAGAACAAGCCACGAGAGTAGAGATGAAGATCCACCCAGAGGAAAAGTGTTCTTGCCATAAATCAATAGATTATTAATAATAATAATGAAATAAATAATAAAGTGTTAATAGTGATGAAAATAAATTATTACTATTAATCATCATAATGAAAGAATAATAATAAATATATAATATTGACAAGAATTATAAAAATAATGATAATAATAGTAAATAATAATAAAACCACTGGACGAATTGACACCAAATTTGGACACAAGACACCTCTCAGGCCAACGAGTGACCATCACCAATAAAACCCCTGAAAAACACAGTTGTAGTTCACCCTGCATCCAGACATATTACCAAACTTGCCAAAACAAACAATGGGCATCGCCAGGTCCCCAAGTTAGTAAAAAACAAATTCTTAATAATAATAATAATAACAACAACAACAGACCAGAATGACATTCGGGGGGGGGGGGGGGATTTAGTGCAGAAACCTATTAAAATAGAAATTAAATATTAGTAATATTGAAAAATAAATAGTGTTTATTAGTATTATGATATTGATGATGATGATACATCATTATTATTATCATTTATATTCTGCTTTTTCTCTGTTAAAAAAAGAGACTCAGGGCAGCTCACCGTGTAACCAATGCAACACAGTTTCAAAATAATACCAACATGAAAACAGAATTAAATATTAATGATATTGTTAAAAATAAACAGTGAAAACCCTTAAAACCGATTAAAAACCTATTAATCACTAAACCAATTAATCCTTTGCGCAGGTGGAGTGCATTGACGAGAAGCATGCCAACGACGCTCTCAGAGAAGTAGGTGTCTTAGGATTGAATTACATAAATATTAACAATATTAAAAAGAAACAGTGTTTATTATTATTATTAATAATAATAATAGTACCCTGCTTTTTCTCTCCAAAAGAGAGGCACAAGATAACATAAACCATTCATGCAATGCAACTGTCAGTCTTCTGAGTAAGGTGGCCTTTTGCATCTGGCAGATGGTAATTTTGTCAGTGCTGATTGTGTTTAAGTGCAGGCCAAGGTCTTGAGGCACTGCACCCAGTGTGTCCATCCCCACTGGGACCACCTTTACTGGCTTGTGCCAGAGTCTTTGCAGTTCAATCTTTAAATCCTCATATCGTGCCATCTTTTCCAGTTTTTTCTTCAATCCTGCTGTCACCTGGGATTGCAACATCAACAATCCATACTTTGTTTTGTAACACGATCGTGAGGTCACGAGTGTTGTGCTCCAACTCTGTCTGTCTGAATTCGGAAGTCCCAGAGTAGTTTGACAAGTTCATTCTCTGCAACATTTTCAGGCTTGTGATCCCACCAGGCAGATGGTATTTGTGGCACAAGTTCTAATGAATCATCTGAGCAACGGTGTTGTGCCTCTGCTTGTAGTCTGTCTGCGCAATCTTCTTGTAGCAGCTGAGAATGGGATCTATTATTATTATTATTATTATTATTATTATTATTATTATTATGTTATTACTATTACTGTCATTACTATTACTAGTATTGTTATTACTGTTACTACCGTTACTAGCACTAACACTACTATTACTACCAGTACTACTATTACTACAATTACCACTATTACTACCACTACCATTACTATAACTACCATTACTACTGCTACTACTTTCATTCCTTCTATTACCATTATTATTATCACGATTACGGTTACTATTACTATTAATGTTCTGCTGCTGTCCCCCACAGGCGCTTCCTCTGCTGAAGGTGCAGCACCGGCATGTCTGGCCCTATAAGGAGATGTTCATCTCTTGGGACAACAAGGTGGGTCCTCCATGGGTATTAATAAAGATAATAATAATAGTAATAATAACAATGCATTGTCAAAGGCTTTCATGGCCATATAGCCCGAAAAACTGACAACAACCCAATAATAACAATGTGAAGAAGGGTTTTAATGCTTGTAATGGTGTATTGTGCCGGTTGCACAGTGAGTCGCTTTGAGCCTCTCTTTTTGGAGAGAGGAATTGTGGAGACAGTATTGGAAATTCCATAACCTATTGGAAATAAGTGCACCATAACCTTACTGTAAAAGGTAAAAATGATGTCACATCGGTTTGGCAAATGTGAATCTCCAGGAACATGTGGAGATCACCTTTTGAAAACCACTACTCAAGAAAAAGATGACTTGTTAAAAGTCGACCCTTTGAACAAGTGATATTTATAAGCATTCATGTAATGGCACACAGGTAACTCAGTGTTGTACTCCAGGCCAGGAAAAAGCCCTCTGACTTTAAAACACCACACAGCTGAGTAAAAATGCAAGCAGCTTATTGATCGTAATTAAAGAGCATTAACAGTAAAAACACTCCAAAAAAAAAAAAAGGTACATCCAAATAGGTAGCAAGATGAGCAGGAACAAATAATCCAGGACATAAGTCCATCAGAGTTCATGAATAACTAACACAGAAGGTAAAACTCCAAACTTGAATAATGAAATCAAATAAGCAATAACTTGAATCTATCCATGGCAAGGCTACAAGGTTCAGGACAAGTGTCTTAATTCAATTCCAACGTTGTTTCGTCTGGCTACAGATTCTGTACTTGGAACTTTTATCCCCTAATCTACTCTATATCCCAAGTGGCCAGAAAAGGCTCGCTTTCCCCAGAAAATTAGAGATAAGGAGAGGAAAAACAGGTGTGTGCGGAATGATGTTATGGGAAGGATTGAAGCATTTTTAAATGGTTCCTGCTGGTACAATCCTTTGTGAGAGCAACATTGTATTCAGGTGAACAGCTCTCAGTTTTGTTCCTATGTCTTGGAATCCGTGTATTCAAGTTTCTAAGTTGTTCTCGCTTCTAGTTCCCGTGTGGCATAAGTTTCCTGTCTTGGATTCATGCTATCTTGTTTATGTAGACTGACTCTGGAGACTGTAATTAATAGGATTTTGGCATCTTGGCATCTTGGAAATAACTTTTTGGTTCTCCTTTCTGGTTTTGCTTATTTTTTCTATACTTTTCTCTGAATAAGTGTTTACTTACTGGATTACCTGGACAGAGTGCGGTTTGTGGTGAAAAAAAAGGCGTTTAAGAACTCTTGTGCAACAGTAATAATAATATTTGGATTGCTGTGAGTTTTCTGGGCTGTGCCTGGTGGCCTTGAAAGCCTTTGACAATCCACAGGAATAATGCTAGTAATTCCCCCATCTTGTTCCTCCCTTGCAGAGGTCCTCGGTGTGGCTGTGCCTGGTGGCGCCCTTCTCGGAGGCAGGCGACCTGGCCACCCTCTTCCAGGCCTGGAGGTGCCGGCAGCTCAAGGCCCCCAAAAAGGTCTGGCACCTGGTTCCAAGATAGACGCATCCTTATTATTATCATTATTTCTCTCTCTGTCTCCTTCTGTTGTTCATTAATGCTTCTTATTATTATTACTACTTCCTTGTTTATCTCCTTCAGTTGCTCATTAATGCATATTATTATTATTTCTCTATCTCCTTCTGTTACTCATTAACGCATATTATTATTATTACTACTGTATTATTATTTGAAACACAACAAGATGAGTCCACAGCAAACAATCTCTGCTGACTTTTGTATTGGATCACACATTGGACCCTTCCCAAGTGTAGGACCATGTGATGTATCATCGAATAATGCGTGCAGATCCCAGTAAGGTGGCCTTCTGCAGCTGACAGGTGAGGATTTGGTTAGCACCGATTGTGTTTAAGTGCAGGCCAAGGTCTTTAGGCACTGCACCCAGTGTGCCCATCACCAATGGGACCCCCTTGACTGGCTTGTGCCAGAGTCTTTTTTTAAATTGTTGTTGTTGTTGTTTCTCTTTTCTTCTCTCTCAGTTTTATTATTTTTATTATTCTTATTCATATTCATATTATTATTATTATTATTTCTCTTTTCCTCTCTTTCAGTTTTATTATTTTTATTATTATCCATTATATTATTATGATTTCTCTTTTCCTCTTGTTCAGTTTTATTATGTATTATTATTATTATTCATATTATTCATATTATTAGTATTATTATTTCTCTTTTCCTCTTTCGGTTTTATATTATTATTATTATTATTATTATTATTATTATTTCTCTTTTCCTCTCTTTCAGTTGCTTGTTAATGCATATTATTTTTACTCTTGGTTCATCTCTTCCTGTTGCCTATCAATGCATATTATTATTACTACTCTGCTCATTGCTTTATGTTGCTTATTAATGCATATTATTATTATTATTATTATTATTATTATTATTATTATTATTATTTCTCTCTGTCTCTTTCTGTTGCTGATTAATACACATCATCATCATCATCATGTTTCTGTGTAGGTGATTCAGATCTTCCTGGGGCAGATGGTGGACGCCTTGGTGTTTCTCCACCAGCAGAAGATTATTCACAGGTAATGTCCAGGCATGTCTCTATGGACTCTGATGGCTTTCGTGACATTGTAAACAGTGATGTGATTGACACATGGCGTCATGCTAATTTCCCCCTTAGAAACATCAAGCCGTCCAACATTCTCCTGTCTGGTGAGGGGGAGCCCTCTTTCCTGCTCTGTGACTTCGCCCCCGAGTGCCTCATGACGGATGAACCCAAGTGGCAGATCCGGGTCAAGGAAGGTGAGCTTGTCGTGGGATTTGCTCATAGATTCAGGTTTTCATCCAAAATATTCCGATATTCACCACTGTAATATTCACTATTGCAATATACAGTGTTCCCTCACTTATCGCGAATGTTACGTGTTAATGTAAGATTAGTGTAATGTGAACGTTTAAATGTAATTTTGTGCAATGCCTGTGAATGTAACCTGATTGCATTGACAGAGAGTGTATTGACTCTGAAAGGGTTACTCAGTCAAGCCTCTAATGAACTGTGAAGTTGTGACCCTGAGTGTGCCTGGAACGCAAAGGGAGGATCCAGAGATAAGATTTCGTTCCTCCTTCTTACTTCAATGGTTTTGTCTTGTTTTTTTTTTGTTTTTGTTTTTTGTTTTTGGTTGGGTGTCAATGTGAGTGTGTGCTGTATATTTGCTCTACTCAGTAAAGCTATCCGTTTGCTTTTACTGAAGTCTCGAAGTGTCTATTTTTCTAAGCTTCAAAGCTTCTGTCGCATTCTGACATTACGTTCCAGAACCACCCGCGATAAGTGAAAATCCGCAAAGTAGGGACACTATATTTGTACTGCTTCAGCTCACTCCTCACTCCCCGCCCCCTCTCACTCACTCAAACCCTTCACCTTCTCTTTCCTCTTCTCTTCCCCCCCTCCCCCCTTCCCTTGCACGCCACACTTCCTGCAGGCTTCTCCTAACGCGCCCGGCTCCCCCTCCCCTCCTCCTTCCCCGCTTGCGCCACCTTCTTGGCCTTTCAGTGGTTGTGCTGGGAAACATGGCATTGGAGGGGATGATTTTAACCAACCACAACCACCAAATCCACGTGTGGGTCCTCACAGGTAACGGGTATATATTTTAAAGTCATATTTATTGAAAAACCGCAAAACAGTGAGTCCGCGAAAAGCAAACAGCGAAGTAGTGAGGGAACACTGTATCGTACAAATATACAACCAGGATACACAGATCCACTTTCCTTGTACTTGCATACAATTAGTCATCAATATGTTGTCGAAGGCTTTCATGGCTGGAATCACTGGGTTACTGTAAGTGTTTTTGGGCTATAGGGCCATGTTCCAGAAGCATTCTCTCCTGACATTTTGCCTATGAGACCCTCCCCCCCCCAACCTCTGAGGATGCCTACCATAGATGTAGGCAAAATGTCAGGAGAGAATGCTTCTGGAACATGGCCATACAGCCCAAAAAACTTACAGCAACCCAATCAGTCATCAGATTTTCACATACAACATCAGTGGATATTCCCACACAGGAAAAGGAAGATGGATTCTTTCATTCTCCTGATATAGCCACCTGCTCATAGGTCGTCAGTAAAGGACACTAGCTGATGCAACCCCTTTGCAGTGACCCTGGTTATGCAACCCCTTTGCAGCGACCCTGACTGATGCAACCCCTTTGCAATGACCCTTACATGGTTATGACTTAGCCATTACCTTAGGTATTGCATCATGACATTCACAGACAGGTGCTATCAATATGCCACATCTTCATAAAATAGTATATTTCTGATACTAGAATTGCCATTTTTATCCAACAAAATGGGCCGTGCTCCTTTACGAGGTTTTGGTTTCCCCTAAAGAGCAAGAGAACACTCACTCGTTCCTTCTTCTTTCAGATCCGCACTTTGAGTCCTGGATGGCCCCAGAGACTGTGGCGTTCTCCTTCAGTGACAAGGCGGACATCTGGTCTCTCGGCTGCGTCCTCCTCCAGATGATCGGATGCAATCGGGTCAAGGTGGCCAGCCATCCTTTCATCTGTCGGGAGGGGTCGGGGGATGCCTCCTACAATTCCTAATAGATTTGGCCACTTTTGCTTACCGTAGATTCTGCTTTGGACACGTGACCCGCCTTCTTCTATGGCAGCAAAACACATTAAAAGTTATCAAGTGCTTTTTCATCATCTAAAAGATGTGATAGATCCAAATGCCATTGTTGAAATATTAAAAAGAGCTCAGCCAAAGGAGTTGCTACACTAGGCATGGGCCAACTTCGTCCTTCCCTGGAGGTGTTTTGGACTACAACTCCCATAATCCCTAAGGGCCAAAGTTTCTCCTTGCCTGATCTAGCTCATATCTATCTGTCTATCTGTCTGTCTGTCTGTCAGTCATTCAGTCAATGGCCTTTTACAATGGAAGAAATATGACAGATAGATAGAGATAGATACAGGTTTAGATACATAGCGCTTCCAACTCTCAGATTCTACAACAGACAGGCAGCTAGATATAGATAGCATTTGGGGTCTCTTCCAACTCTAGGAGTCTATGATAGATAAATAGAGTTTGTATATACAGATAGATACAAACATAAGTATAGATAGCCCTTGGGGTCCCTTCGATCTCTTGCGTTATATGATAGATAGATAGATAGATAGATAGATAGATAGATAGATAGACAGACAGATAGACATACATCGTCCCTTCCAACTCTAGTATGATAGACAGATAGACAGGCAGATGTACGGATATATATAAATATTAGATAGGCCTTAGGGTCCCTTCCAAATCTCGGATTGTATGGTTGATTGATTGATTGATTGCCAGCCCTTGGGGCCCCTTCCTACTCTAGTATGATAGATAAATAAACCGCATAGAGTCGCCGCTTTAGGCTGATATATGCGGTATACAAATGGAGTAAATAAATAAATAAATAACTATAGATATAGATAGCACCTGAGGGTCCTTCAAACGCTAGGATTCTATAATAGATAGATACAGATAGATATTTTCATGTTTATGTATGTATATTTATGTCCCGGCATTGAATGTTTGCTGTTTATATGTTGTGCTCTGCCCTGAATCCCCTTTGGGGTGAGAAGGGCAGAATATAAATGCTTTAGATAATAATAATAATAATAATAATAATAATAATAATGGTATAGATAGCCCTTGGGGTCCCTTCCAACTCTAGTATGATAGATAGATAGATAGATAGATAGATAGATAGATAGATAGATAGATAGATAGATAGATATACAGATCTATATAAATATTAGATAGGCCTTGGGATTCCTTCAAACTCTTGGATTGTATGATTGATTGATTGATTGATTGATTGATTGCCAGCCCTTGGGTCCCTTCCAACTCTAGTATGATAAATAGAGAGAGAGAGAGAGAGAGAGATACAGATCTATATAAATATTAGATAGGCCTTGGGGTTCCTTCCAACTCTTGGATTGTATGATTGATTGATTAATAGCCAGCACTTGGGGTCCTTTCCAGCTCTAGTATGATTGATTGATTGATTGATAAATCCTTCTTACTTCCTTTCTTCCTTCCAGGGCAGGGACCTGCTCCCGCTGCTGCAGGGCCTGCGTGCGGACAGCACCCGCCTGGAGGAGGCTCTGGGGGTCACCAAATGCAAGGAGAAGCCTGTGGCCTCAGTCCTGAGGGCCATGCTCCAGGGGCAACCCTCCATGCGACCTTCTGCAGAGTAGGTCCACCCCACCCCCGTTCTGGTTGGTTGAGGGGGAAACGGGGCTCGCAAGAGCGAGAGTGCACTGTGGCCAAACCTGCTGGCCCTTTCTCTGCTGCAGGGAGCTGGTGGAGCTTCCCTTCGTCCGAGAGGCCCTGATCCTTGCTGGGTCTCCCCTGGTCAAGGTCAAGAAGAGCCTCCCTCCGGGGTTACTAGAGGTCATCCTTGATGGCGGGATTCAGACGGTGCTAGGTAATTCCAACACATTTCTATAGGGCCTGGAGTCGGGATGCCAGATGCTAATGGCTTTCAGGTTGCCATTATTATTATTATTATTATTATTATTATTATTATTATTATTATTTTGTATTTCATCAAATAATAGTTGCACCCCCATTTGGGTGACAAAATTTAGTATTTTTTGCATTCCTCATGTAATAGTCGCACCCTCATTCTTGGGGTGCCCAAATTGGTATCGTTGTGTTTCTCACATAATAGTCGCACGTGCATTTTTGGGTTCCCAAATTTGGCATTTTTGTGTTCTTCACATAATAGTCATACCCTCACTTTTGGGGTGCTAAAATTGTCATTTCTGTGTTCCTCGCATAATAGTCGCACCTCTAGACCTGGCTTGTACCATGTAAATCCAGTACCAACACCTTGATTACGAAGGTTTACAGTGTCGACATGGCTGCCAGTTTCTTGCAGGTATTTATTGTCTACATGAGGAGGATTTCACAGATAAGTCCATCCCTTTGCCTTCCGCAGAATTCATGGTATCTTACCAAGACATAGAGGAGGCCCAAGAGAAGAGCATTGAGCGCCTTATCAGCCTCTTGAAGGAAGCCAAAGGTAGGCTTGTGTTGCTGTTGTGGCCAAACATTTAGACTAGCAACCAAATGCCATATTTCCCCGAAAATAAGGCAATTCCTTACATTAATTTAATTAGGGCTTATATTCAAGGGATGTCTTATTGTGCCTGTTCTCTGATGATAAAAACTAGTGTTCATTTACATAGAGAGGCATTTACTTTTTGTCCAAAGGCGTTCACCTCGGGGTTTACAAATAATTAATTATAATTTTTGTTAGTCTTTATTTTGTGTATTAATTGATAATGTTGATAATATTATTTATTTATAATTGAGACTGTATTAATATTATTATCTTTATAATTCCAAATGTGTTGTAAGGGAAGTGCTAAATGCCTGCATTAAGTTGACACTGATCTGAACTGGGGCTTGTTTATGGGGTAATAATAATAATAATAATAATTTTATTTTGGGTTGTTGTAGGTTTTCCGGGCTATATGGCCATGTTCTAGAGGCATTTTCTCCTGACGTTTTGCCTGCATCTATGGCAAGCATCCTCAGAGGTAGTGAGGTCACCTCACTACCTCTGAGGATGCTTGCCATAGATGCAGGCAAAACGTCAGGAGAAAATGCCTCTAGAACATGGCCATATAGCCCGGAAAACCTACAACAACCCAGTGATTCCGGCCAAGGAAGCCTTCAACAATGTTATTTCTTACCTGCCTCTCCTTGTGGCTAATAATAATAATATCTGTATAATAATAATAATAATAATAATAATAATAATAATAATGTTATTTCTTACCTGCCTCTCCTTGTGGCTAATAATAATAATATTTATTTATTTATTTATTTATTTATTTCGGGTACTTTTACCCCGCCCTTCTCAACCCCCGAGGGGGGACTCAGGGCGGCTTACAAAAAGGCACAATTCGATGCCTATACAAATTACACATAATGTACAAAACCATAGTTAAAACAATTATCACAGTTAAAACAATCAAAACAATCAGTATATAACACATCATATAAAACTATTCTCATGCTCAGCGTTTCGTCTTTCAGAGTTCCATAGTTCCATTCCATTAATCATTTCCTGACCATTGTCAAAGTCCTTTCTTTAACTTCCCGATTGTCCGAATGCTTGGTCCCAAATCCACGTTTTCAGTTTTTTCCTAAAGAAAAGGAGTGCTGTTGCTGATCTAATTTCCCCGGGGAGTGAATTCCACAGGTGGGGGGCCACCACCGAGAAGGCCCTGCTCCTCGTCCCCGCCAACCTCACTTGTGATAGAGGCGGGGCGAGAGCAGGGCCTCCCCAGAAGATCTTAAACTCTGAGGTGGGACGTAGAGGGAGATCCGTTCAGACAGATACACTGGGCCGGAACCGTATAGGGTTTTGTAGGTCAAAACCAGCACTTTGAATTGTGCTCGGAATTGGATCAGCAGCCAGTGGAGCTGACACAACAGGGGGTGGTATGCTCCCTGTATGACGCTCCGGTGAACAATCTGGCTGCCTCCGCTGGACTAATTGGAGTTTCCGAACAGTCTTCAAAGGCAACCCCACGTAGAGTGCGTTGCAGTAATCTAAACGGGATGTAACAAGAGCGTGGACCACCGTGGCCAGATCCAACTTCCCAAGGACGAGGGTCAGGCTTGGACTTATTTTTCGGTTGGGGCTTATCTTCAGGGAGGGAAAACAGGGTAGCGACCTACTTTTGCCCAGAACCTGGGATTTCAAAGAGGATCTAAAGAGGCCCAAAACAACAGCCTCTGGTCAGTCAGTAATGCAGCTGCAGTTTCTTTCCAGTGGTCAGTGTGGAGGCCTTCGTCGGACTCCTGGACCCTGTGACCCAGGCCATGGCGGACCATGTGGAGGCCCCCGAGGTCCAGTTAGCGGGGCTCTCCTTCCTGATGGAGGCCCTTGGCAGAGGTAGGGCAAGGCCCACCCCCACCAGCCGACCCTGGCCACAACCGGCCAATAACACAATCAAGGGATCATCAGCATACCCATGTCATCACCTCCTTCAGTCTCGCGTCAACAGACTGGACCTTTAAAGCAACCCATAACACTATATAATCCAATTATTTTTGTTCCTGGGTTATCAATGCCATTTCCTAATTGGTCCTATTACAAAAGCATGAGGAAAGTGTATTAAACTACACAAACTGTCTTTGCGGGAGGGACACCATCCTGCTATAAGCACATTTTGCTCTAGTTTTTCAATGGATATCTCATCATCGGATGTTAACCAATTCAACCACAAAAACAACAAAGTTTCTGGAGTAGAACAACTACTTCCAAAGTAAGGACTGCACAATTAAACAAGAAATAATGCTTTCAAACCAGGAACAAAAAAAAATCAAATTTTGTTACATAGTATTATTATTATTATTAATTTTATTTGTATTATATTTTCTTATTTTTATTTATATTATTATATTTACCAATGTTATTATATTTAATATTTATATTGCTTTTATATTTACTTATTACATTTAATTTTATTATTACATTAAATTATTATTATATATACTTATATTGCTATTATAATTACTTATATTATTGTCATTATATTAACCATTGTTATTACAGTATGTCCAGAACCACAGTCCCAGGTTCAAACCACTGCAGTCTTTCCTACTTACTTTTCTTTCTCCCATTCTCCCTCCGTCTTAATCTTTCCTTCCCTCTTTTTCCTCCCTCCTTTCATTTTTCTCTCCTTCCCTTTCATTCCTTTTCTCCTTCCTATATTTCTATATAAAGGGAAGCTCTTTTTCCTTCATTCCTTTCTTTTCTTCCTCCCTCCCTCCTTCCCTCTTTTTCTATGTCCTTTCTTTCTTTCCCTTTCCTTCCTTCCTTCCTCCTCCCTCCTCCTTTTCCTCCTCACTCTTTCTTCTTCCATTCTTTCCTTCCTCTTCCCTTTCTTCTCCTCCTTCCTTTTTTCTTTCCTTCTTTCTTCTCCTTCCTTTCCTTCCTTCCCTTTTTTCTCTTCCTTCCTTTTCTTTCTCTCCTTCCTTCCTTCCCTCCCTCTTTCCTTTCTTCCTCCTTCTTTTTTCTTCCCTTCCTTCCCTTTTCTCTTCCTTCTCTTTTTTTCTCCTCCTTTCCTCTCTTCCTTTCTCTCCCTCCCTCCTTCCTTCCTATTTTCTTCCTCCTTCCTTTTTCTCCTCCTCCTTCCTTCTCCCCCTTCTTCTTCCTTTTCTTCCTTTTCTTTCTCTGTCCCTCCTTTCTGCCTTCCCTCTTCTCCTGTTCTTTTCTTTTTCTCCCTCCCTCCTCCCTGTCTTCCTCTCTCCTTCGCTTCCTTCCTCATTTCTTCTTTTCCTTCCCTCCTTCCTTCCTTCCTTCCTTCCTTCTTTTTCTCTGCCTCTATTTCTTTCTTTCTCCCACCTTCATTCCTTCCTTCCCTTTTTCCTCACCCCCTTCCCCCCCTTTTCTACCTTCTCCTTCCTTCTTCTCCCTTCTTTCTCTTTTCCTTCCTATCTTCCTTCTATCTTTTCCCTCCCTCCTTCCTTCCCTCTCTTTCTTCCTCCTTACTTCCAGTCTGGGTCTGCAGGAGGATGGTGTTTTTTCTGACAAGTCAATGCAATGGGGGAAAGGAGAGAGGGAGCTGGGCCTGGGGGTAATGGGGATGATGATGGGGATGATGGGAGATGACGCCATGTCCCTCTGCTCTGCTTTTGTGCAGCCATGGGGCAGCAGGACCTGACAGCGGAGCTGCTGTCCTGCAAGAGTGTCCTGAGCTCCCTCTTGGGCTCCCTCCGGCGCCACCAGGACAACGAGGCCCTGGCCTGGAGCACTGCCACCCTCTTCATGATGATGTCCACCAACGGTCAGTCAGGCCAAGCCAGGCCACACTCGCTTTCCTTTCCCTTGATGCAGCCCTATCTCCAGGCTCCTGTCAATGACTCTACTGCTGGCACTAGAAGCTTCTGATCTGCCCCATTTCTCCTCCTCCTGTGAGCATGGAGAGGAGGAAGATGTCTCCTGAGAGATACTTAGTTAGATAGATCGGCCCTTTCCTTTCCTATAATATTTGAATAACGTATTCTCTAACTTTTCATACAGTCATATAATGAAAGAGTTGGAAGAGACCTCATGGGTTATCCAGTCCAACCCCATTCTGCCAAGAAGCAGGAATATTGCATTCAAATCACCCCTGATAGATGGCCATCCAGCCTCTGTTTAAAAGCTTCCAAAGAAGGAGCCTCCACCACACTCCGGGGCAGAGAGTTCCACTGCTGAACGGCTCTCACAGTCAGGAAGTTCTTCCTTGTGTTCAGATGGAATCTCCTCTCTTGTAGTTTGAAGCCATTGTTCCGCGTCCTAATCTCCAAGGAAGCAGAAAACAAGCTTGCTCCCTCCTCCCTGTGGCTTCCTCTCACATATTTATACATGGCTATCATATCTCCTCTCAGCCTTCTCTTCTTCAGGCTAAACATGCCCAGCTCCTTAAGCCGCTCCTCATAGGGCTTGTTCTCCAGACCTTGATCATTTTAGTGGCCCTCCTCTGGACACATTCCAGCTTGTCAATATCTCTCTTGAATTGTGGTGCCCAGAATTGGACACAATATTCCAGGTGTGGTCTAACCAAAGCGGAATAGAGGGGTAGCATGACTTCCCTAGATCTAGACACTATGCTCCTATTGATGCAGGCCAAAATCCCATTGGCTTTTTTTGCCGCCACATCACATTGTGGCTCATGTTTAACTTGTTGTCCACGAGGACTCCAAGATCTTTTTCACACGTACTGCTCTCAAGCCAGGCATTGTCCCCCATTCTGTATCTTTGCATTTCGTTTTTCCTGCCAAAGTGGAGTATCTTGCATTTGACCCTGTTGAACTTCATTTTGTTAGTTTTGGCCCATATCTCTCTAATCTGTCAAGATCGTTTTGAATCCTGCTCCTGTCCTCTGGAGTATTGGCTATCCCTCCCAATTTGGTGTCGTCTGCAAACTTGATGATTCTGCCTTCTAGCCCTTCATCTAAGTCATTAATAAAGATGTTGAACAGGACCGGGCCCAGGACAGGAACCCTGCGGCACTCCACTCGTCACTTCTTTCCAGGATGAAGAGGAAGCATTGGTGAGCACCCTCTGGGTTCGTCCATTTAACCAATTACAGATCCACCTCACCGTAGTTTTGCCTAGCCCACATTGGACTAGTTTCCTTGCCAGAAGGTCATGGGGAACCTTGTTGAAGGCCTTACTGAAATCCAGGTACGCTACATCCACGGCATTCCCCGCATCTATCCAGCTTGTAACTCTATCGAAAAAAGAGATCAGATTAGTCTGGCATGACTTTTCAAGCTCTTGTGAATAGCTGGAGCTCAATGGCTCTACTGTTGGGTACTGGAAGCGTTTGGTCTGTTGAATTGCCCCTTCTGTTCTGTGAGCATGGAGAGAAGCAAGATGTCTCCTGAGAGATAGTAATACAGTGTTCCCTCACTTATCGCGGGTGTAACATTCCAGGGTCACCCATGAAAAGTGAAAATCCGCAAAGTAGGGACAATATATCTCACATTCCGAGGGTGAGCAGACGGGAGGAGAGATTTAAAGGCACCACACACCTTTTTTTTTTTTTGGCTAGCTATCTCTGCTTTGCTTAGCAATCTCTCTTGATTGGCTCCCTCTCTCCCAAGGGGGAGGGTGAAATCCCCTTCCACACTCCATCGTTGCCAGGAGTCTGGATTAGAACGCCGCTCTGGGCAACAGCAACCATTCATAAACTGGGAGGCAAAAACCCGCCAAACAGTGAGTCTGCGAAAACCGAACTGCAAAGTAGTGAGGGAACACTGTAATAATAGTAATGATAATAATAATAATACACTTTATTTATATGCCACTCTATCTCCTCAAGGGGACACATATATAGGCAAACATTCGATGCCTTGTATACAGTGAACAATGACATACAATAGGCAAACAAAGGCAAAGGTTCCCTCTCCATCTCCGGTGTCTGGAGGCAATGCTCAACTCTGGCCAGTGGGAGGTGCTTTTGTTCCATTTTCCATGCTGAGCAGCCTGTTGTCCGTAGACCCTCCTGGTCGTGTTTGCCAGCATGGCTACATGGATGCCTTTTACCTTCCCGCTGAGGCGGTAGCTATTGATCTACTCACATTACATTTTTTGAACTGCTAGGTTGGCAGGAGCTAGGAGCTTAGATGAATAGCAGTGCCCTCTAGCTTTCCTATCTAGTTATGTAGTTCTTTGAAGGAAGTCTTGTATACCATTTCAAGCTTGGCTCTGCTCCTGTAAATGGCCAAAGCTCAATGGCTCTACTGCTGGCACTAGAAGCTTGGAGGGTGAGACTGGAAGCGGTGACATGGATATGCAGATGATCCCATAATTTATTTCATGTCCAGTTGGTATATCAAACAAACCATATATTTGAACCCAATTGTTATGTGGATGGAGCGTATCTGAATTTCAGGAAGGCCTTCCTTTGACAAGGCCCCCCCATGACCTTCTGGCAAGGAAACTAGTCCAATGTGAGCTAGGCAAAACTACGGTTAAGTGAATCTGTAATTGGTTAAGCAAACGAACCCAGAGGATGATTCTTCCCAAGGCTTCCTCTTAATCCTGGAAAGAAGTGACGAGTGGAGTGCCACAAGCAAGGTTCCTGCTCAGGATCTTCATTAATGGCTTAGATGAAGGATTCGAAGGCAGGATCATCAAGTTTGCAGACAGGACCAAATGGGGAGGGAGAGCCAATACTCTGGAAGACAGGAGCAGAATTCAAAATGATCTTCACAGATTAGAGAGAGGATGGGCCAAAACGAACACAAGGAAGTTCAAGGGTGACAAATGCCTTTTTAACTTTAAATTATAAAGACGTCTCGTCAAGATAATTTTATCTTGACTCCGCAGATGCTCCCAACATTCTCTCGCTGTTGTAGCATTCCTCAGATACGTGAGTTGGCTATATTCCACAGCAAGAATAGTGTTTGCTTTACATTTCTCATCGTTTCTCAATTCCGCTGCATTTGCCCCTGCTCCTGGAGGATTCTCAACAATGTCCCATAAATTCTCTCTGATGAGAAAATACTTTAACTTCACTGCCCACGACGAGTAGTTGGAAGAATTCAGTCTCTCTAGTGGCAAAGCACCACTTCCACTTTGAGACATATCTTCCAATCTTTTCTTTCAACAAACACAACCACTAAACAGTCTTTATAGAAACTCTGAGCTTTAGAGTCTCCTAGACGGGGCTGCTGGTACTGCTGGTACGGCGGGCACAGCTGGGCCCATAACCCATGTCGCAGCTATAGTGTCGCTGCTTTAAAGTTGGGGTTGATTCTAAGCATCCAAACCCCCTTTCCGGAAGCTGCGCCCCGTTGCCCAAGGAGAACAATCAACAAAAGACAAACTCTTTTTCAATAAAGAAATGTTTATATACAATACTCACAAAAATAGTTTCAATCCTCAATCCTCCAGCAAACCTTTCTTCAGCTTCTTCAGCAATCTCTTCTTGCTCTTGCTCTACTCAATACTCTCCAGTCTCTTCTCTACATTCTCTTCTCTCTACAATACACAGTACTTAGTCCCAATTTGTAGCATCTAATCTATCACAGGTGGCTTAACAGTTGCTCTTCATGCAATGCTTGGACATGGTCCTTACAAATACTTACTCACTTTTTCACTTAAGAAATGACTCAATTGATATAAAACTCTGACATGTAGTTCTTTCAATAAATAACTTTTCAAGCTCTTGTGAATTGCTGGAGCCCAATGGCTCTACTGCTGGCGCTAGAAGCGTTGACAGAGAAATAGATAGATAGATAGATAGATAGATAGATAGATAGATAGATAGGCACTTTCCTTTCCTATAAAGTCTTTTGTCGCTTTTCAAGCTCGACTCTGCTCCTGTAATAATTGCCAAAGCTCATGCTGAACTGCTTCTTTTGCTCTTCTCCTGTGAGCATGGAGAGAGGCGAGATGTCTCCTGAGGGATAGTTAGATAGTAATATATTTCTTTGAATAATGTATTGTATAATCTTTTCAAGCTTGACTCTGATGCTGAGCTGCTAAACTTGATGACTGAAAGCTCACAGGTTTGAATCCAGGGAGTGGGGGTGAGCTCCCACTGTTAGCCCCAGCTTCTGCCAACCTAGCAGTTCAAAAACATGCAAATGTGAGTAGATCAATAAGTACTGCTCCAGCAGGAAGGTAATGGTGCTCCATGCAGTCATGCCACATGGCCTTGGAGATGTCAACTATAATAATTGCTCATTGCCTCTACTGCTGGCACTAGAAGCTTCTGGATTACCTCTTTTGTTCTCCTGTGAGCGTAAAGAGGGGCAAGATGTTACCTGAGAGATGGATAGATAGATAGATAGATCGATAGATAGATAGTAATGCAATTCTTTGAATAAGGTCTTGTATAATCTTTTCAGGCTTGACTCTGATCCTGTAATAATTGCTCATTGCCTCTACTGCTGGCACTAGAAGCGTCTGGATTACCTCTTTTGTTCTCCTTCTGTGAGCATAGAGAGGGGCAAGATGTTACCTGATGGATGGATGGATGGATGGATAGATAGATAGATAGATAGATAGATAGATAGATCGATAGATCGATAGATCGATAGATCGATAGATAGTAATGCAATTCTTTGAATAAGGTCTTGTATAATCTTTTCAGGCTTGACTCTGTTGCTGTAATAATTGCTCATTGACTCTACTGCTGGCACTAGAAGCTTCTGGACTGCCTCTTTTGTTCTCCTCCTCTGAGCATGGAGAGGGGCAAGATGTCGCCAGGGAGATGGATAGATTGATAGATCGGCCCTTTTCCTTTCCTATATTGTTACACCGCTCTCTGAATGAAGTCTTTTCTTTCTCAGCGGTGGCTGCGGAGGCACTGCGGGAGGCGGGAGTCTTCTCGGAAATGCTGTCTGCCCTACACCGCTTCGCCCACAACAAGGAGGTCTGCCTCTCCTGCTGCGGAGTCATTTGGAGCCTGATGGCCAGCCGTGAGTATGGGACTCGGATGCGGTCCTCACCGAGGTCGCTGATAAGCAGGTGGGGGGCATTGGTGGAAGAAAGCCCTCCCCTCTTGGCTCCTCTGCGTGACTGTCACTCCCTTCTCTCCTCCAATCCCCTGCTTGCACTTAGAGTGACACTCCTCGGGGACACGCCCCTTTTTATTCAAATGTATCTGTTCTCTCCTCCAATCCCCTTCCTCCTCAGCGACACAAACCTTTTTATTCAAATGCCTCTCTGTTCCCTCCTCCAATCTCCTTCCATCTCGGAGACACGCCCCCTTTTATTCAAATGCCTCTCTGTTCCCTCCTCCAATCCCCTTCCTTCTCTGAGACACGCCCCCTTTTATTCAAATGCCAATCCCCTTCCTTCTAAAGGGCACGCTCATTTTTATTCAAATCATCCCCAATGTAAGGGATAGAAGGGGAGAACAGGGAGGTATCTGCATAAAAAGGGGCGTGTCCTTCAGAAGGGTCAGCTTAACAAGGAAGGGGATTGGAGGAGAGCAGAGGGAGACATTTGCACCAGGAGGCCTCTCTGTGTGTGTGTCCAGTGACGAACCCGGCCGCAGTCCCACTGAAGGAGGCCCTGGAGGCCGTGGCCCTCGTCCTTCACGGCAACATGGAGCACGGCGAAGTGGCCGAAGCCGCCTGCTGTGCCTTCTGGGCCCTGGCCCTTCACGGTGAGCAGACTCCGCTTGTGGCCATCTGTTGGGAGGGCTTTGGGGGTGCCTTCCTTTATGGCAGAAGGAATTGGTTTGGACTGGGTGGTCTCTGGGGGGTCCCTTCTGACTAGAGCCCTTCTTCTCCTAATGCCTATGAGGCTGGGTGGGCATCTGTCGGGAGGGATTGGATGGGGTCCCTTCCAACTCTGGGATTCTATATCTATTTTATATACAGATATCTATCATATCTATGGCCATCAATCTATGGCTGAATGGCCATCTGTTGGGAAGGCTTTCATGGTGTCTTGGAGGGCCTTTCATATTTCCTCTCACCTCTAGGATTCTATATCTATTATATATACAGCTATCTATCTCATTCACATATATCTATCTATCCATCCATCAATCTGTCCATCTATCTACCCATCTATCTGTCCATCTATCTGTCTGTCTGTCTGTCTATATCCATCCATCCATCCATCCATCCACACATCCATCCATCCATCCATCCATCCATCCATCTATCTACCCATCCATCTACGAATCTGTCAATCTATCCATCCATCCATCCATGCATCTATTCATGCATCCATTTATCCATCCATCCATCGATCCACTGTCCAGCTATCCATGCATCTATCTATGCATCTATCTATCTATCTATCTATCTATCTATCTATCTATCTATCTATCCATCCATTCATCCATCCACCCATCTACCATCCATACACCCATCTACCATCTACCCATGCATCTATCCATGCATCTATCCATGTATCTATCTGTCTATCTATCCATCCATCCATCCACCCACCCACCCACCCATCTACCATCTACCCATGCATCTATCCATGCATCTATCCATGCATCCATCTATCTATCTATCTATCTATCTATCTATCTATCTATCTATCTATCTATCTATCTATCCATCCACCTATCTATTATATCTGTAACTGGATGTCTATCAGTTGGGAGAGATCAGATTGTTTTTTTTCCTTTATGGCAAAAAGAAAGGGGTTGGACTGGGTGGCCCTCTTGGGGTGCCCCTATATCAATCATCAATCCATAGATCTCTATCTATCATATCTATGGCTGGATGGCCATCTGTTGGGAGGGCTTTGGTTGTGCCTTCCTTTATGCAGAAAGAAGGGGGTTGGACTGGGTGGCCCCCTTGGGGTGCCCCTTCTTACTCTAGAGCCCTATTTCTCCTTGAACCCTTATAATGCCCATGAGGCTGGATGACCATCTGTCGGGAGGGATCAGATGGGGTTCACCTGGCAGAAAGGTGATGGGACTGGATGGCCTTGGGGGGGGGTGTCTTTCTTCAAACTCTGGGATTCTGCTATTTGCCCAATGCGGGAACAGCCATGATTGCCATTGCCTGATGCCTGGCTGCAGGTATTGCGGAGGAAGAGGCCCACGACCCTTACGCCTTGCTGCTGATGGAGGCCCTTCGGCGGCACAAGGAGCGCCCCATCCTGGCCAAGAACGCCTGCCTGGCCCTGGCCGCCCTCCTCCGGACCTCAGGTATCAGGGGAAAGGGGGAAGGCATGGGAAGAGGAGGCAAAGGAAGAAGAAAGGGTGGCTCTCCCCAAAGCGTTCTGGGCCCATAACCCTTTGTTATTTTGAGCTGTTAGGCTCAAAATAACTCTCAGTTGGGGTGATGCCACCAAAAACACAGCAGAGCGCCAGAAGCAGAAGCTGATGCGTGGTGAGCCAGGATTAGCTTCCATTTAACAGGATGGAACAGGATTACACAGACAGAACTTTAGGTTCAAAATATTTATTGAATATTGAACTTTAGGTTAAAAATATATTTATTGAAGTAAAAAGACATCCATTCTAGATAGAAAAGGGTCTTGGAGCTAACCACTACGGTTGAATGAAAAGTAATGCCTCCACCTTCGTAACTCAACAGATGGCAGTGCTGGTATGTGGCAGGTACTGGCTTGTTCAGTAGACTCTCCTCTACAGTTCCATTTTGACGGGAAGCCTTAGCATTGAATGGTTGTGTTGTTAAAGTGCCAAGTATGGAACCCTGCAAAGACGGTCGGTCAATGCGGCTTAAGCAACGTGCAGTAATTGAATTCTTGACATCAGAAGGTGTCACCCCAAAGGAGATTCCTCAGAGAATGCAAGCTGTTTATGGTGATTGTGTTGATGTGAGTACTGTGCATTGTTGGGCGAGTAAGTTTAAAGATGTTGAGGTGGGAACATCTGACTTGCGTGACAAAGAGTTGGACGTCCTGTGACAGCAACCACCGAGTTTCACAAGCAAAAGGTTGACAGATTGATTCAGGACGATCGTCGTATCTCTCAGAGAGAAATTTCAAGCATAATTGGCATTTCACAAGAACGTATGGGTCACATTATTGCTTTGCTTGGCTATCGGAAAATCTGTGCACGATGGGTAATCAGGATGCTGACGCCTGAAATTAACACACCCCACAAGAGAACTTCAAAGCCTGGATCTCAAGACAGTATGACATCCTCCATACAGTCCAGATTTAGTACCACCTGACTTCCATCTGTTCCCGATAATGAAAGAAGATCTGCGGGGACATCATTATGCTTCTGATGAAGATGTTGAAAGAACTGGTTGCAGAAACATGGTGTCGACTTCTTCAGTGACAGCTTCAGAAAACTTGTTCGTCGTTGGCAGAAGTGTATCCAATTATCTGGTGATTATATGGAAAACTGAATAGTAGTTGAGAGAACCGTGAGACGCTGGTTGCGGAAACAGTGTCGACTTCTTCTTTGACGGCTTCAGGAAACTTGCTCATTGTTGGCAGAAATGTATCCAATTGTCTGGTGATTATGTGGAAAACTGAATAGTAGTTAAGAGAACCGTGAGAAACTGGTTGCGGAAACAGAGTGTCGACTTCTTCTTTGACGGCTTCAGGAAACTTGCTCATTGTTGGCAGAAATGTATCCAATTGTCTGGTGATTATGTGGAAAAGTGAAAAGTAGTAGTTGAAGAGCACATTCTAAGGATTATTTCTGCGTTTGATTTATTAAAATATTCCCATCCAAACCCAAGTAACGAAGCTGGAGGCATTACTTTTCATTCAACCCTCGTAGCTTACTAAGCTCATCTTCTAAAGAAGGCGAAAGGATAAATTATCAAATGTATCCATGCAGCTACATTTTGCCTGGAGAAAGGCAAAATGCGTCCTCACAGGAAGGGAGACAAAGGCAGAGAGAGGGCGATACAGAATCACCACAAGGCCAAGCCAGGGCAATAAAGATACCTTTAAAGAGGAAGTTACCTCATCCCTCACAAATTCCATTGCTACGTCTTCAAAGGGGAGGAGATAGTGGCAAGCAAGAAGAGTCAAGGCAGGAATGTGAGGTGAGGAATCCCTCATTCTAATCCTATATCTAAGTCTAGCTACTCATTGAGGACTGGAGACTTGCGCAGTCCAGGGAGGAAACCCAACACTCTCTCCCTTAGACCTCTCAGGATTCCGCTTTATCCTGACCGACGCGACGGGGAGCGGGATGAGCCTCTTGAAGGAGATCTACCGGCTGCACCGCGAAGACCCCGAAGTCGTGGAGGACCTCTGCCTCCTCGTCCAGGAGATGCTCAAATACGGTGGGCAGCCAGGGCGGAGAAAGGTCTCATGACGGCGTTCTGACTTTCTTTAGTTGAGTAGAAACCGGGTAGCAAGCGGACTTATTTTGTTGCTGGGAGCAAAGGACAGGGTGGCCATAGTGCTCACAATTCCATAGCATAAACCCTTGTGCCCAGCGGTTCAAATTTGCAAGACAGGGAGAGCTCCCAACTGTCAGCCCCACCTTCCCATGCAGGGACATGAAAGAAGCCTCCCACAGGATGGGAACACATGCGGGTAATATCCTTGCAGACGGCAAATTCTCTCACACCAGAAGCAACTTACAGTTTACTATTGTTATTGTTACTATGGAGCCCCTGGCGGCGCAGTGGGTTAAACCATTGAACTGCTAAACTTGATGACCGAAAGTTTTGAATCCAGGAAGTGGGCTGAGCTCCCACTGTTAGCCCCAGCTTCTGCCAACCTAGCAGTTCAAAAACATGCAAATGTGAGTAGATCAATAGGTACTGCTCCAGCGGGAAGGTAATGGTGCTCCATGCAGTCATGCCAGTGGCCACATGACCTTGGAGGTGTCTACGTACAACGCCGGCTCTTTGACTTAGAAATGGAGCATCAGAGTCCCAGAGTTGGACACAACTAGATTTAATGTCAGGGGAATACCTTTACCTTTACTATTGTTATTATTATAGAATCATAATAGTTGGAAGGGACCCCAGGGGCCATTTAATCCAACCCTTTTGCTAGGCAGGGAAAGCACCATCAAAGCCCTCCCAACAGATGGCCATCTCCCCTTCACCCTGCACTGAAATGCCTCTCTTCTTCCCTTCTTCCTTTCTGAACCGCAGACGGAATCGTGGTGGAGATGGCCTCCCAGAACATGGCGGAAATGCTGAGCGAAATGAAGGACCGGTTCACCTCCAGCCTGGTCAGTAAGCGGCAGGAATGCCCATACGCCACTCAATGATCATCCCAAAGGCACAGAATAGCACAATTATATTAGAATTATAATACTATATTATTATATAATATTATATAATATCCTAATATTGTTGTTGTTGTTGTTATTATATATATATATATATATATATATATATATATATATATATATATATATATATATATATAAAATTTATATATATTTATGTATGTCACATTTTTGTTCCTGGGTTATCAATGTCATTTCCTAATTGGTTCTATCATAAAAATGCGGAAAAAGTTTATTAAACTGCAGAAACATCCCGCTAGAGCAGATATGGCTCTAGTTTCCCAATGACTATGTGTTGTCAAAGGCTTTCAGGGCCAGAATCACTGGGTTGCTGTAAGTTTTTCGGGCTGTTTAGCCATGTTCCAGAAGCATTCCCTCCTGACGTTTCGCACACATCTATGGCAGGCATCCTCAGAGGTTGTGAGGTCTGTTGGAAACTAAGAAAATTGAGTTTATATCCCTGAGGAATGATATCCAGGGTGGGAGAAAGAACTTTTGTCTATTGGAGGCAAGTATGAAGCTTGCAAATGGACACCTTGATTCGCATTGAATGGCGTAGCAGTTTTCAGGGCTAGCTAATCGCCTCCCAACAAAGGATTCCCCGAGGCACGAATCAGCCAGTCTTTGAAGCTTCGAGGCCATTCAGTACTAATCAAGGTGGCCATTTGCAACATTCTCCAACAGACAATTATTATTGTTTATTTTATTTACCATATTTATATATCACCTTTCTCGAAGGTGACTCAAGGCGGTTTACAGTCAGCACAATTCGATGCCCCCAACAACATAAATTACTATTAAAAAACAATTAACATATACTATATATACTCGAGTATAAGCCTACTTTTTCAGCCCCCTTTTTAGGCTGAAAAAGCTCCCCTCGGCTTATGCTCGAGTCAAAGTTATTTATTATTTTACTGTTATTAATATTATTTTAATTTCATGTATTATTTTACTGTCATTATTACATTTACAGCATTTTACTCTATTATTATTATTACATTTATTATTTTACTTTATTATTTATTTGTTTATTTATTTAACTCTATTATTGTTGGAAGGATACGTAAGTACATTTACATTGAAGATATGTAATGATTTAATCCGAGTTGGCCAGTCTTATCTCAAATTACAGTTCTGTGTAAATATTAAAAAACATTTCACCGCCTGATGCCTCAATTAATGTAATTTTATTGGTATCTATTTTTATTTTAAAATTTATCTGTAGTGGCTGCATTTCCCACTCGGCTTATACTCGAATCAATATGTTTTCCCAGTTTTTTGTGGTAAAATTAGGTGCCTCGGTTTATATTCGGGTTGGCTTATACTCGAGTATATACGATAATATAAAACCAGCAAGAACATAGAGTTTCCTTACGTAGTCCCTGCGATGCATACAAGTGATATTCCCTGCGCTCGCGCAGCAGCATTCGGAACCTTCCAAATCAAAAATAATGACAGTTAGATAGGCCACGCCCCCTCCCTCTGGTATAAGTAGCCCGTGGGCGGGGCCAACCGTCAGTTCTCTTTATCCGCTCTGAACAAAGCAGCGGAGAACCTCCTATCTCTGGCGAGCTAGGTTTGGACTAAAGAGTACTTCATTTGTCATCATGGCAACTAGTTCTTTTAAGAAATGTATGAAATGTCCTAATATACTGCCAGACAATGATGGCCATGAGCTTTGTTTGGCTTGCCTCGGTGAAGCTCACCTTTATCAATCCTGTTCAGTCTGTCAAGCGTTCACGCCGCAGACTAGGAAGAACAGGATTTTGAGACTGAAGGCGGCTCTTTATGAAAGGGCACTTCTACCTTCATCAGATCCGATAAGGATCGATTTGCCTGAGGCGAACTCTGCTACGGCAACTATAAAGAAGGTTAAGAAAGTGAAGGATAAAATCCCTCAGGAGGGCCGTTTAACCGCTGGAAAAAAAGCGGCAGCTGTGGAGACGAAGGGCAGCTCGTTAACTGCCCATCAGGTTAAAGCTCCATCTTCGAGGCCGAGGGACGGTGAATCAGGTCTCCCTCTGGTGGCTGATGGGAACATTACAGCCACTCCGGTATCGATATCGGAGAAGCGCGAGGGGGACGTGAGGCCATTGAGACTTACCCCTCCTATGCCGATGCTGTCGCCTAACCAACCACCCTCCAGGGTGGAGGAAACTGCCTTGGCTTCGAGAGCAGCCTTACCTCTCTCACTGCAAGGCCAGAAAGAGACTCCTGCCGCTATCGGCAGCCTCCCTGCATATCGAGCTGTAAGCGCCGATGTCGAGGCTGGGATGAACACTGAGCGCGCATGCGCAACTGAGCGCACATGCGCAATTCCGCCCACACCAGCCGGCCATACTTTAGAGGCGGAGCGCGCTGCTAGGACTCCGCCTGCCGATGTCGAGGACATGGAAGAGGGAGGACGCTCGACTGTCGCTCCTCCCATACAGAGGGGCGATCAGCTGTTACAGCCTGCTGCTTCGATACAGAGCACAACAGGACGCAGTTCTGAAGAGACGGGGCGTGATCGCGCCTCTAGAAGGGGCAGCAAGCGCCCGAGGCGTTCGAGGTCCCCCTCTAGACCTGGCTCAAGATCTCGCCACCGTAGGGATCGAGGGGGCTCCAGAAGAAGCCACAGACGCTCCCCATCTTCATCATCATCTACCTCATCCTCCTCATCTTCTAGCTCTCCTTCCCCACGATCAAGACGCTCGAGGCGACAGAAGCGGCATAGGCGTCATTTCTATCCGTATCCGCCTCCTTGGGGAGGACACCCCATGGATTGCCATCCATATCCGAGATGCTACTGTGAGAGCTGTATGGAACAAGGCGCACTTGTCCAATCTCCACATACCTCAAGAGATAAACGAGGACATACTCTGCCCCAGAGAAGGGTTCATGATTTGAGAGTGCACCCAGCTGATATTCAGGGTCCTTCCACATCAGCGGCAGCTGAATTCAGACCTCATCATGTGTCGCATGATGTACAGACTCAGCCTCCATCTACCGTGTTGACTACTCAACAGCCTGTTGGTGAGGAGTCCGTTGCAAATGGAATTGTTGACAATCTACAAGGTGACGACCCTGCATCCACTCTGGCACGGGGGGTTTCAACTCCTCAATGCTATGATACTACATCTCAGGTTGAGGAAATGCAACGCGTGTCCGGGCACATAAACAGTGCTTCAGAAGATTCTGACATGCCAGACTATTTGTGTCAGGGAGACAATGATGCAGCTGCAGTCATACAGTCAGCTGAGTTTAATAAGTTCAATGCACTCATAGGAAGGATGATCAGAGCCTTGGATCTTCCAGCCCCAAAGACACCTGATCACGTGGATGATCCGATGTTCCCTTCGGAGGAACAAATTTCATCCCCAGCTACTGTTTTACCTGTGTTACCATATTTACTGAAATTGGCACGTATAGCAGACATGTCACCCACATTGGTGCCGGCTATTCCAAGACGGCTTGATGTATTATACAAAATTGATGTCTCAGGTCATAAGTGGGTGGTTGCTCCTCCAAAGCCCAATACTGTAGTGGCTGAAGTTGCTAAAACAAAACGCCCAAAAAACTCCCTCACAACCCCACCAGACAGGGAGGGGAAGAAGGTCGATACCTTAGGTAAAAAGGCACATCTCTGCGCAGGCCTCCTCACTCGCATGGCGCATTATGCTACTTACCTCAGTGGTTATCAAAGTTTTTTATGGGCTAAAATACTGCCATCCATTGAGTTGTTACCAGTTGATAGACAGCGCTTCCCTAAAGCATTGCAAGCAGAGGCTATTGTGTTATCTAAAGCACAGAAGGATTTTGCGAAACACCTGGCAGAGATGGCAGGAAACTTATATTCGACTGCAACTTCGATTCGCCGCCATGCTTGGCTGCGTTCTTCAAATTTGTCTGAAGAGGGAAGGGCTTTAGCTGAAGACATGCCCTTCCATGAAGAGGGCCTCTTTAATCCGGACACAGATGTCAGGATCAAAGAGAAACAGGATGTACGCCAGGCAGCAAATAAATTTGGGTTTACATGGCAACCTTACCCCCAGCAGAAACAACGGTGGCATCCTTACACTTCGAATTTCCGGAGGAGTTCCGGTAACTCTTTCTCTGGATCATATAGGGGCCGCAATTTCTCCACTAATCGTTTTCAGCCTAATAGGAGAGGCTCCTTTTTTTCCAGAGGAAGATCCCAGAGTTGGACACCCAGGGGGAAACCACAGGGGAATCAAAAGAAGCGTCTTTGACGAAACTGTCGATGACATGTCTTCTCTTGGGTCAGACAGCATTGATCCTACTAGTATTTCAATAGTTCCTGTTGTTTCTTTTACGTCTACATCACAGTTGTGTCTGTTTGGTGACAGGTTGTCATCATTTTATAACGTGTGGGCCATGATTACCACGGATAAGTGGGTCCTTTCTATTGTTGACCAGGGTTATGTTATTGAATTTATGGATCTCCCCAGAGTGGGTCACATTCGTAAAACTCCTTTCTCAAAACCGTTAAATGATGAAATTCAGTTGTTGCTAAGCAAGGGGGCTATATCTCCCATTAAAGAAGTTGATGTTTCATGTTGTTATTTCTCACGTTATTTCCTCATTAAGAAACGCACTGGTGGCCTAAGGCCTATTCTGGACCTCAGATCGTTAAATAAACACGTTCAACAGAAAAGATTTCGCATGGTCACTCTAACTACCATTTTGCCCTTACTATTCGAAGGGGCATGGTTTGCAACCATAGATTTAAAGGACGCCTATTTCCACTTGTCCATTGCCAAACACCACCGAAGATACCTTTCTTTTACGGTGGGAAATACCCCTTATTGTTTTAACGTACTACCCTTTGGGTTGTCTTCTGCCCCAAGGGTATTCACTAAATGTATGTCCGTTGTGTCTGCTTACCTACATACAAGGGGCGTGTCTTTATTCCCCTATATTGATGATTGGTTATTGGTAGCCAACTCGCGGGCCCAGATTGAATCGCATCTTTCTATTGTTTTGTCTCTTAT